CTGCTGGGGCAGGGACACTGACCCCCGACGCCCGGGCATCGGCACTGCTGGGGCAGGGACACTGACCCCCGACGCCCGGGCCCCGGCCCTGCTGGGGCAGGGACACTGACCCCGACACCCGGGCATCGGCACTGCTGGGGCAGGGACACTGACCCCCCACGCCCGGGCATCGGCACTGCTGGGGCAGGGACACTGACCCCCGACGCCCGGGCATCGGCACTGCTGGGGCAGGGACACTGACCCCCGACGCCCGGGCATCGGCACTGCTGGGGCAGGGACACTGACCCTGTCGCCCAGGCCCTGCTGGGGCAGGGACACTGACCCCCGACGCCCCGGCACTGCTGGGGCAGGGGCACCTGACCCCCACGCCCAGCCCCGGCCCTGCTGGGGCAGGGACACTGACCCCCGACGCCCGGGCATCGGCACTGCTGGGGCAGGGACACTGACCCCGTCGCCCAGGCCCTGCTGGGGCAGGGACACTGACCCCCGACGCCCGGGCACTGCTGGGGCAGGGGCACCTGACCCCCACGCCCAGCCCAGGCCCTGCTGGGGCAGGGACACTGACCCCCACGCCCAGCCCCGGCCCTGCTGGGGCAGGGACACTGACCCCGACGCCCGGCCCCGACCCTGCTGGGGCAGCAACACCTGACTCCGACGCCCGGGCATCGGCTCTGCCGGGGCAGGGACACCTGGTCCCGGCATAGCGCGGGGCGGCTTCGGGGAGGGGGCGCCTGAGCTCAGCTGCAGGAGAGCGCGAGCGACACCCCGAAGGAGGAGCAGCGGCTTGTGTCTGAGCGGAGGAGGCATTTCACTGAGACCCGAGCACTCCCGGGCGGGGGAGGCAGAAGCCAGTCGGGCACCTCGTTCCTTTAACCCTGTGCCCTTCCCCGGGGCTGGGAGGCCGAGAGGGAGGGCGAGGCCAAGCCACTTGCCCAGGTGATGCGGGAGGAGTCATACCTGACACCAGAGCCGGGTCTCAGCCGTCACACCCTATAGGTTTGATGGGATTTGTTTGAGAGGTTTGGATCCTGACAGTTAAGAGCTCTCGGAGACTCCCAGCCCCCTTCCTTTTTATGGCCGTCTCAGTTTGCAGGTTAGGTCTCTGAGCCTCACCTGTAAAATGGGGTCATTCCCCACCTCCCAGGTTTGCTGCGAGAAGGAAATGATTGTACTGAAAGCCCAGCGCTCAGCATGGTACCAAGTGCAGAGCGAGCACCTGTGAGAAGATAAAGGGGCATCAGATTGGGAGGGGCCTCGCCCAGGGGCTGCTGTGATATTCTAGTGTGGAGGGTGGCCCCCAGTGAAGCCAAGCAGGTGGGGGTGGGAGTGAATATATTTGCGTTTTGGGAGGATCACTTGGGCTCTGATGCTGGCGACAGGAGGGGGAGAGCCCAGATGATAGGCAGTTAGGAAGCTCTGTTTCATCCAGACTGCCTGTGGCGTGGGCTCGAATCTGAGTCAGGGCTCTGGGGGGGAGAGTGGGAGGCAGAAGTGGATTCAGGGTGTAATGGGAAGCACCCCATAGGACTCAGCGACTCGAACCAGGATGGGGGAGAGAGTAGAGAAGGTGAAGGTGACCGAAGGTCCTGACTTGGGTGACTGGGAGAAGGGCACGTCATGAACTGCACTCAGGGAGGCAGGAGGAGCAGGTCTGAGGGGGCAGAGCTAGAGTTTCGTGGGCTCATGTTTGGTGCCTGTGCCCCAGGTTTTTTGTTTCTCTCCCTTTTACATTTCTCCTGCACGGGTGGAAGTAAAAACTGGTGAAATACAAGTACTGACGTTTACTACTGGGTGTCTTGCAGGTCCTGGCAGGAGAACATCTCCTTGAAAGAGCTCCAGAGCCGAGGCGTCTGCCTGCTGAAGCTGCAGGTGTCCAGCCAGCGGACCGGGCTGTACGGACAGCTCCTGGTCACCTTCGAGCCCCGGAGAGGCGCGTCTGCAGGAGTGCTTCCCAGTAACAGCTTTTCTTCTGGTCTGTGCATTTCTGACGTAGGCACATAACTGGATACGACTGGTGGGCATTTATCGTATAAAATGATTCATGCTTAACTTTGTTCAGTGTTTATGTAACTGAGCCTTTGTTTCGCAGGTGATATCGTGGGTCTGCACGATGAAGGCGGTCAGCTGGCCACTGGGATCCTGACCCGGATCACCCAGAAATCGGTCACCGTGGCCTTTGACCAGTCCTGTGATTTCCAGCTGAGCTTGGACCGAGAGAATTCCTACCGACTGTTAAAACTTGCCAACGATGTCACTTATAAGCGACTGAAAAAGTAAGTGTGTGGTGGGACATCACAGGTAACATTTTCCTTAAACACAGCTTGCTCGGCCCCACCATGTTCCCGCCGGGCAGAGAGAGCAGCGTGTCCCGTCCAGGCTGGGCTTGTCCTCGCGAGCCATCTCTGGAGGTGGGGGCCTGCAGGGGGGTGAGGGGCGGAGGCTTCGGCACCGACTCCATTGCTGGTTTTCACTAAGCTCCCCATTTTCATTTTCTCCCCGGGCAGAGCTCTGATTGCCCTGAGGAAGTACCACACCGGCCCCGCGCTCTCACTCATAGAGGTCCTGTTCGGTGACGCAGCCCCCAGCCCTGCCAGCGACATACGTAAGAACTTGTGCCTTTTCTCTTCTGATGGAAATCTTCAGGGAAGGTTTGGAGAGTAATGTGACCGTGGGCCACTTTGTCAAGAGTTTGAGGAGGTACAACTAGAAGAAATCACTTTAGTTTCTTTTTGTAAATTCATGTGAATGACCCAGATCGACTGGGCTCTCTTCCCTGTGCTCAGCATCAGAGGCAAACCCCTTCCGCTCACTTCCACAGTGTTCTCTCTGAGACCTCCCCGTCTGTGTTTCGAGATGGGGCGTGTTTCTCCCTGCCCAGTGCCCTGAAGATAGGTGACAGCCGATCATACTGGAGGATTGTCTTCATCTGTGCTTGAGTGTTACTTTTTGGTTTGGAAAGTCTCATTGGGTTATTTTCTCAGCATCCTGTAGGTATTGTAAGAGTGATGTGTGTGAGTCACGGGAAATTAGGAAACACAGAAGCAGGTAAACAGGGAGACAATTGCTCAGAAATCTGCCGCTCAGTTCGTCTCACGAGTGTCAGTGTCTAATCTTCGAGCCTTATCCCACATCCACATACGACAGTGTGTTTCACACGTGCGCTCACAGACACACACACATACACTTTACTGCCTTTGAAGCAGCATGACGTGTCTTGACCACAGCTGACCCCTAAGGAGGGAGGGGCACGGTGTGGCGTGGCGGGAAGCGCACTGGCACCCCAGCTCCGATGGCATCACTGTCCATGTTCGTCTCAGTCTCACTCAGTCAGGTCCGCACCTGGGCCTGTGAGTTCACACGCCCACGGGTCGAGCGTCTCCACGTAGCTGGTGCCGTGGGGTGGACGCTGGGAGCATAGCCGGACACGGCGGTGCCTACTCTCAGAGCACAGAGCACGTGGAGCAAATAACCCGTCTGGTCGTGAAAGATACAGGGTGGAAACCCGGCCCTGGAGTTTGCTAGTACTTTCTTACCCTTTATTTTTGTCATTTTTGGTAACGTATAGAGGCGCAATGTGAAAGCAAACATGTCCCGAGAAACACGTCCCTCAGAAGAACCTGTTATCCTGGAGATGAGTTGGCAAGCGTTTTCAGTAAAGGGACAGATGGTCAACATTAGGCTTCGCGGGCTGCTGCAGGAGCGAGCGGGCAGGGACAGCGTGATGGCATGGCTGGGTGCCAGAGGAACCTGGCCCTGGGAAGCCGGCGACAGGCTGGGTTGGGCCTGGTCTGCAGTCTGTGCTTCCTGTCCCAGGGAAATTTTTTAAAAACAAAACAGGTTGATTTTGAGTTGATTGGGTGACTCCCGGGGAGGTCCAGCTCCCTTCCTGTGCTTGTCAGCGCTCCCTCGAGGAAGACGGGCGAGGAGCATGCGCCAGGGGCTCGAGAGCCTGACCTAACCCCATTGCGTCTCCCGCAGAGGTGCCGACCTTCTACAACGCCTCCCTGGACGCCTCCCAGAAGGAAGCGGTTTTGTTTGCACTGTCCCAGAAGGAGCTGGCCATCATCCACGGGCCTCCTGGCACCGGGAAGACCACCACTCTGGTGGAGATCATCATTCAGGCTGTGAAACAGGGCCTCAAGGTGGGACCTACTTCCCCTCAGCACCGACCAGCCCCGGCCGGCCTGCCGTGTTCGCCGGCGCTCAGCAGGCCCAGGCAGTCAGCGGGCCCAGGCGGCTCGGGGGGAACTGGTCAGGACCCCCCTGATGTCCACTGAGCATTGGTAGCTGCATGGGACATGGAATGTGACCTTGCTGTGGGTGGCGGTGCCAGGATGTTGGGGGGAGGGTGGCCTTGGCTCCTGTTCTTGGCGTTGATGTGAGGAGGGACTCTCCTGTCCACCTCCTCTGCTGGCTGCCACCTGCCTCTCACAGTGGGACTGCAGTTCTGGAAGCAAGACTGAGCCCCCTCGGAGCTTACCCTGGTCCACGTTGTCAGGTGATATAGTGATGTGATTGGTGATGAGATGGTGTCCCAGCCCTGGTTTTTTCAGGGCTCCAAGTCCTTCCTTTCCACATACAAGCTGCTCAGCATTTCCTATTTATTTATTTATTTTTGGTTAATGCTCACCGGAGGATATTTTTTCCCATTGTTTTTTTTTTCCTAGAGAGAAGGGAGGGAGCTGGGGTGAGAGAGAGAGAGAGAGAGAGAGAGAGAGAGAGAGAGAGATCGAGAGAGAGAGACATCAATTGGTTGCCTCCCACATGCGCCCTGACCAGGGCTGGGGATGGAACCTGCAACCCAGGTACTGGGAATCGAACCCGAGACCCTTCGTTCTGCGGGCTGACACTAACCACTGAGCCACACCGGCCAGGGCGCCACTCAGCATTTCTGATGCTCTGGAGTCCAGTAGAGCCTCAGACCTAGTTCTTGTTCTGCAGACATTGTGACAGTTTGCAGTGAGGTGTGTCCTTTAGGCCGCCCCCCATCCCACATCTGCGGTTACACCTGAACATCACGTCGCCCACATGGCACCCTCTTCTCTCTCCCTGTAAAGCCTTCGGTTTGCTTCGGTGTAAACCTACGTGGTTTCCTTAAACACAGAGTCCCCAGACTCGACCTTGAGCTTTGCCCCCCCCAGGTCCTGTGTTGCGCACCCTCCAACATCGCTGTGGACAACCTGGTGGAGCACCTGGCCCGGAGCGGGCGGCGGGTGCTGCGCCTCGGGCACCCCGCCCGGCTCCTGGAGTCCATCCAGCACCACTCGCTGGACGCGGTGTTGGCGCGCAGTGACGGCGCCCAGATCGTGGCGGACATCAGGCGGGACATCGACCAGGTCTCCGTAGGTATCTCTTAGCCGGTGTCCACTTCAGGGCGGTTTTCCAATCTAAGGCTCTCCACGGACCAGATTGTGTCTGCCTGGGTTCCTTTTGCCCTTTATGGCCTCGGTGGCTCATTTAATAATTTCCAGCATCGAGCCTGCCCAGTGTTAGTGGAAACCCACACTCAGCCCTTATGGGGACTCAGGTGCCTTGCAGGTAGTTCCCCGGGCAGGTGAGGGGCTGTTTGAAAGAAAACATTGCTCTCACGTCTGTGTTGTTGGTACTATTGGTAAGCAAAAGAGAAAAGGCCTGGGAATAAAAAGTCAGAAAGTAGTTATCTTCCCAGTTTCTCGCCCATCTTACATGATCCCTGTGAAGGAGAGGGTGGCGGGCAGTAGGTCAGTTTGAGATGGCGTTTTCTCTCGTTGTCGGCGCTTCCGAACTCTCTGGTTCTCCAGCTTCCACGATTATCCGGATTTCCTGAAATGTCCCGCCCTGTGTGTGCTCACCACCCCTGGTCTCACTGCAGCCCCACTGTGCTCCTCGGGGCCTTGGCCTCCTAGGGTCGGTGCTGGGAGTTAGCCTTTCCCGCAGAGCAGCAGGTGGTGCGTGGGGATAGCAGGGCGGGCACAGGACGGCCCATCTGTCAGCGTTGGAGGGGGGCAGGAGCCTGCGGTCCAGCTAGTGCTCCCTCCATCACAATGCGCAGGAGTGCCAGGCCCTGGTCCTTTCTAAGTCATGCTGTCCTGGTCGTCCCTCTGAATTAGGCACAGTGACCCTCCTGTCGCCGCTGCTGGGATCCTGCCCTCCAGAGCAGGAATCACAGGGAAGGAAGGGGTGACGTGTCTTTTTGAGTATTAAGGTTGGGGTTTAGGTAACCACTTTATGTGCCAAACAACATTTTTTAAGTGTCTTGATGAATGCAGAATAAAAAGTGAAGTTAAGCCACTGAAACCCAAGTCCTGAGCCAACAGGTGCTCGCCCCCCTCAGCACCACACCTCAGCCTGTCTGGTGACTGAGGGCGGGGCTGGGCCCCGAACTCCTGGCCATCTGAGTTTATAGTTATAGCGCCTCTCCCTCGAGGACCCAGACTGTCCCTGTGCGGTGACAGTAGCTCCAAGGCCGTGCACGTGTCAGGTGCTTAGTCACCCGTTTGTATCTGTTGCTCCTTCAAGAAAGAGCTTGAATTTTTAGTGCCTTTTAAGGAACCTGGGAGAGTGGACCAAGTCGTTATAAATAAAAGCACTTTGTGAACTGAAAAGCGCCAAATAAGGGCACAGTTGTGTCAAAATGTTGTATTTTCTTTGCTTTCCTCTGTAGGTGAAAATTAAGAAGACCCAGGATAAGAGAGAGAGGAGTAATTTCCGAGACGAAATCAGGCTGTTGAGGAAGGAGCTGAAGGAGAGGGAAGACGCTGCGATGCGGGAGAGCCTCACGGCAGCCGACGTGGTCCTGGCAACAAACACGGGTGAGGAGGATTGTGACCTAAATTCAGAAAACCATGCAGGAACCGCATTTTAGAAATCAGGCAGCCTTCCCAGGACTTGGGGTGCAGCCCCAGAGGGGTGATGGGTTTGGGGGATTGAAGTGTCGAGTGGCCCACGGCTGGGGACACGCTGCTTCACAGGTAAACACAAGGCAGGGACTGCGCCTTTGACTGTCCTCGCCACGTTTTTATACTGAGCTACGTGTTTACTGCACGGTCTTAACATGGGACTGGATGTGGACCCGCTGGCTGTGGTGTCTCTGTCGGCGGTGGCTGCTCTCGTAGCCCGGGCCTCTAAAAGCCTGTGGTTCTGATCTCAACCAGGTGCCTCTTCCGACGGCCCCCTGAAGCTGCTGCCCGACGGCTACTTCGACCTAGTGGTCATCGACGAGTGCGCCCAGGCCCTGGAAGCCAGCTGCTGGGTCCCCCTGCTGAAGGCCAGCAAGTGTGTGCTGGCCGGGGACCACAAGCAGCTACCCCCCACCATCGTCTCTCCCAAGTAAGACCCTCCTTTGAGCGCCTTGGCCTCTCCTGCGCCTCCCTTTGTTCTGTCCCTCAAGGGCCGCCCCAGAAGCCCTTGCTCCCGGGAGGCCCTGGACATGCCGTCCTCTGCACTTACTCGTTTAGACAACGCATCTCTCAGACTGTGCTCCTGGAGGTCAGGGGTCGTGTCGCATTCCTCTCGGAGCCTGGCCCCGAGCTCAGCTGTGCTCGTTGAATTGGATACCCTGACGGGTCACGGGGTTGCCGGCTCACCTCATCCCTGCCCCCTGCCCTCCACTGCTGCAGCCACACTGGCCTCCTCTGTCCTTGCTGTCCCCTGGTCTGGACCTTCAGTATTGGCTGGTCACGCCCTCCCTTTATCTAGGTCTCTGTGCAGGTGAACCCTCCGTGTGGTCTCCTGTGGCCGCCCTGTCTACGTGGCATCCCTGTCACCTCAAGTCCCTTTGCAGCTCAGCCGGTGCTTCTAACACTCATCATTCCCGGCAGTGGTGGGGACTGGGTCATCTGTATGTCTTCCCGACTGGGGTGTTGGTCACGTGGCCTGGGGTAGCCTGGCACAAGGGGACCTTTGAGCAAACCAGCCTTTTACAAATTGTTCCCAAAGTCCGCACCCAGAAAGGCCCCTTGAGGAGTGGAACCTTTGAGACCCAGTTCCTTTTTTCTCGGGCGCAGGGCTGCGCAGGCGGGCCTGTCCCTGAGCCTGATGGAGCGCCTGGCTGACGGGTGCGGGGCGGAGGCGGTGCGGATGCTGATGGTGCAGTACCGCATGCACCAGGCCATCGCGCGGTGGGCCTCGGAGGCCCTGTACCACGGGCAGCTCATGGCACACCCCTCCGTGGCGGAGCACCTCCTGCGGTGAGTGACGTGGCCACATCCATGTCCTGTCCGAGCCCCGTGCCACCGAGTGGTCTAGTGTGGTTGCCCTGAGAGCTGGCCTTGGGGTGCTCCAGTCTGATGTGCCACCTGTGGGTGGTACCCCGTTTCCTGTTGGGGGCTATGCGGGTCTGCTTTCAGGGCCTCCGCGCCTGGACCTCACGTGGTCAGTCTCCGCCTGTGTGCAGGGACCTCCCGGGAGTAGCTGCCACGGAGGAGACGTGCCTGCCCCTGTTGCTCGTGGACACAGCTGGCTGCGGGCTGTCGGAACTGGAGGGGGAAGATGACCAGTCTAAAGGGAACCCCGGTGAGCTCAGGAGGGAGGGTCAGCTTTTCTGTCCAAACAGACCCCGGGCTCCTCTGCAAACACAGTCCCTCTAAGTTGCTGACTTGGGAGTGGAGGTGAACACAGCACCTGGGAGCCATGGGCGGTTAGGAGCCGGAGGCTCCGAGGCCTGAGCTCCGCTGAGAGTCTTCTCCATGAGCAGGCAGCACTGGTTGAGGCCGCCAGTGGTCTGGGCAGGGTTCACCTTGTTCTGACAGTGGCCAGTGCTGCCTGGCTGGTCTCAGGATGAGGTCCTTGCTCAGCCCACAGGACATTGGCTCGATTCCAATCCCTGGGCTGCCCCTAACAGGACTCACAGCTACACTTAAACTGAGAGTGTTGTTCCCAGAATTCAAGTGGGTTGGGGGGGTCCTGTATTTTTTTTAATTGATTTTAGAGAGAGAGGAAGGGAAAGAGAAAGGGAGACAGACAGAAACATCAATGTGAGAGAGAAACATTTAATGGTTGCCTCTCGTGTGCACCCCCACCCAGCATCAAACCCGCAACCTGGGTATGTGCCTTGACTGGGAATCGAACCGGGGACCTTTTTGGTGCATTGGCTGGTGCTCAACCAACTGAGCCACCTGGCAGGGCAGGGGCCCTGCACTTTCGTTTGCTGAGTCTGGTGACCCTCCAACTCAGGTGTGAGCTCCCAGGATGATGCCAGATCAGCTTGACGTAATAGACAGAAAAATGCTGGGAGAAGCAAGCGCTGACCTAGGCGTCCGCTGTGTCCCTCGTCCTAGAACCTGCTCCCTGTCCCCTGCAGGTGAGGTGCGCCTCGTCAGCTTGCACATCCAGGCTCTGGTGGACGCTGGCGTCCAGGAGCGCGACATCGCTGTGATCACGCCGTACAACCTCCAGGTGCGAGCAGCCCCGCGTCTCCCTCTGTGTTTATCGGTGGGAACCAATCATATTCAAGTGCTAAAAGGAAAAGGGAAGTTTATTGGTTCTTGTGACCGAAAATTCTGGGGAGGAGTCGACCACATCCCGTCTGGATTGAGGCTTGGGTGACATCAGCAAGAGCCTCCACCCATCCGTCCATCTGTCCATTTCACTCACTCTGTCACCCCCCC